AACACTTACTTCTTTAATGCGCCCAAGGTCTTGACCGAGTTGGGTCAACCAAGCCAATCTCTTAGGGCGCATTTCCCAAATTCTTCCCAAAGTCTCTTGGGAGTCGATGGACTTTGGGTTGAATTTCTCTTCTTATTGAATTTCATCTCCTCTTTAGTGGATGAAATTCTTAGTAAGACTTCATGTCTTACCTGAGGTTCGGCATTGTTGTGCCCTGTTGGTGTTATTTTTAATGATGAAGGTGTCCTTGCGTGCCCTTTTTCTTTTAAAGCGCAGTCGGTTACCAAATCTCGTTGTGGGATGACTCGGCGACTTTACGAGTCACCTCATCTCCTTGTAGGTCCTTAATGACCCTTGAAGTCTTGGTGCGAATGTGTTCTTCACCCTTTTGCTTAGCACCATGGGCTACGTAGTTCTTGATTCCATACAACTTGTAAGGAGTCCTCTGATTTGCTCGAACGATGTCCATGGTTTGGAGGAGTCCCGGTCCCTCCTTAGCATTTTGACTTTTAAGGTTTTCGTGGGTTCTTAGTACGAGTTCCCAACTCGCCTCCTTGGTTTTCGCAATCCTTTACGCCAAACATCCCTAGTCGGTTGTATCGTAGGATCCGATTTCAATTACTCGTGCAATGTAATTGATTGTGATTTCCCGTTGGTGTCTCATGCGTCAAGGTCTTTTACGTAGGACACTATGTTTGGGTGGTCCATGGTTCCTTACCCAAGACTCACATTCCTCAATCGAGGCACACAAGTGCGCCACAAATCAATAAAATGAGGGGTTAAGAAATCAGCACATTGTACCAGTGGGCGCGAGGTGGGCGGTCGTCCGCCTGCCAAGCTCCTGCCAAGGACCCGCCAAGGTCCCGTCAAGGACCCGTTGGGGACCCGCGGGAAAGTGATTAGGAATAGTCAATTCCTTCGGGAAGGACCCCAAAAATGCACAGATTCATGTCCTGACAAGTCCCATGCCCTTGTGCACAATAAAAGGGACTTGGATACATAGGATGACCCATCGTACAATGTTCATTGATCCTTAAGCACGAGTTCTAGAGGTAGATATACATACATATATATATCTATGTTTTCTTGGTCTGGGTTTAAAGGGGTGTAAGGAGTGCAAGGGCTAGGTTTCAAAGTCGAGGGGCGGATAGGGTCGATGTCTCAAGGTCGTAATACAGGAAGGAAGGTTGCTACCTTGTACGGGTTCGTCTGTAATGAGAGATCAAGAGCGAGGTTTGGAGTGATAGGACGGATTCTTTAACGAAATGGTACTTGATTGGCAAGGGGAGGGAAAGGGGCTAAGGACTCTTGGCTTCGGGTGATTATGCCTGTTTGGGGCTTGGTTGTGGCGTGCAGTCGAACTGGTGATCCCTTTTCCTTGGCTTTGTTTGATTCTAAGATTTTCGTTTGATTTTCTCTTCCCGTGTCGAAGTCCCCTTCGTTTCTATGGCTTCCAGGGGAATTCTCGTGATGGTTTCTGTGCACGTTCCCCTCGGATGTCCAGAAGTCTGGACCCAGTCGGTTTAGTGGGTCAAACCCCTAGGTCTTGACTCCTAATCCTTGCCGAGGGTTCTTAAGGGTAAGGGGGGTTTCGGGTTAGTCTTTCTTGTTCTATTGGGTTTCATCCCTTCCTTGGTGGATGAAATTCTTAGCAAGGATTTATGTCATCCTCGAGGTTCGGCCTGTTGCACCTATTTGACGATGTTTTCTGTAGCGAGGGCCCCTGACACATTGAACGTATTTGTTTGCCCGCTCTTGTCAACGCATGGCGTTCTTCGGTGGCATACGTACAGGCTATGGTTTCTCGTGAAGCCTTCACGGTTTTCGTGCAAGGGTGGGGTGATACGTATTCGTAACCTCCACCTACTTCGCCGATTCCTATCTAACAACTTATTTTAATATTGAATCAATGAATGTCGGTTCTTCATGCCCCTGGCCAGGGTAAGGGCCTTATGCTGCTCTACGGTTTTTAACAGGGTTTCCAAACGGAGTGGGGATATGAACTTAGAGTAAGGGCAATAACAATTTAGGGTTTCCGAGGGTTTGGGTTAAGCGCAACAAAGGGCGAGCAAGGTCATGACGGTTGCGAATTTGCTCTTAAGGTAATTAAGGATTCGGGGTGGGAGTTTTCAACAAATAGGGGTATCAAGATGCTGGGGTTTCAGGCGGATGATATTTTAAATTGGGGTGGTGGGGTCGCAAGGTGTCGTGATATACTTACCTTGCACCCAAGGATTCGACTAATGGTGTCGTTCCTTCGCTACTTTAATAGGTGTCCTAGTTCTCCTTCCTGTTTGTTGTAGCCGCAACCTGGGTTTGCCGAGATAAGGCAACTTGTCGGAAGGTGCATGTCATTTGTCTGACTCGGGGGTTATCGTGGTTACCCTGGGTTGGTGCGTATTGCAGTCCGTCCCTTTTAGCAGTCCTGACTGTAACGCCTCTTCTTAGTATTCATCCAAATCTTCCTTTTCTTTGGTCAGGGTCCTTGTCAAGTCTTTTGGCGGGAGTTAGGACGAGGCGATTTATCGGGTAAGTGTACGTTACCCAGTTGTGGAAGTAAACTTATCTATTCGCACCCTTACCTGGTGTGGTAAGCGTAGGGGGAGGTTCCTTTAAGTTAGAGAGGGATGAAGTGAGGGGAGGTTATGTGTAGGTTTCACAATCTCACTGCGCGTCCTAAGATTCCTGGATCCTATGTTCCTAAGTACCTAGAGTTCAAGCCTAGTGTCCTAAAGTCCGGTCTTAAGAGTCTTATCTTAGGGTCAAACTTAAGCTCTGATACCAACTGTAACACCCCAGATTTTCAAGACATTTAAAACTTATAATAAAGGTAGAATCTTATTAAATCCCAAGATATAAATACAAGCGTTCGGGGTGCTATGCCACACCTGGGCTAGAGAACCCAAGTGCACAGGCTAACTAACTAATATCCTCAAAGCGTAAATACGTAAACGTGGCACACAGGCCAAAAGGGAAACTATCTACTTCTAAGTTCTAGCGCACTCCAGTGACTTAATCTTCTGTGCCTAAAAGCCAAATATATCTGTTCAGCGAGAGATGCTGGTAACCCACTCCAACGCGTTGAAATACAATACATATAGAGATATATATAGATATACGAAAACCATTTTGAGCATGAAGATATATCCTACGAACTCTAGCTTTAAAAACCGGGAATGACTCGACAGATAAGGCCAGACGCAAGCAACAGTTATAACGAGCATATGCAGTTCACAACAAATAAGGCAGATAAGGCAAAGCATAATCAATGATCATAACCCAACATGAACAATCCCCAATATAAATCCCATAGTCACATCCCCCAAGACACTCGTAATCACAACTCGTCCATGTCACAACACATAACACACTTTGTTGGCGCCACAGGACCAATCGCATGCCCATACATGATGGTCAGCGCATATAGCTCTGACACGGCCCCGCAGCACCCTGCCCCGTATCGCAACACGGAGGGGTCGATCGCAACCGACCGATGAACCGCAGCTCATCATAGTGTTTGATCGTAACCAAACAGTGGACCGCAGCCCAAGAGGATGTCATCTGACTGCAGCCAGGAAAAAGGACGAACCGCAGCTCGTATAGAAACGTTTGATCGCAACCAAACGGTGGACCGCAGCCCAAGAGTATCAATCTGACCGCAGCCAGCTTCTGAACCGCAGCTCAGGATAACCAATCCGATCGCAACCGAATTGGGGTAACACACACACATAACACATAGCAAGCACATGCAACCCACATTACACATTAGGAAGGGGGAGAAAACGTATAACAAAACCTATGCGTGATCCATCACATACTAAAAATAGTCCTAAGGGGTTCATACTTCTACCACCTAGGTCAACGGGATACCAATTCAACTAGCATGCAATATAATAGACTCGTAAACCTACGAACGGCACCCGAGATATCAAACTAGACATAGGCACGAAGAACGGAGTCCGTTGGGACACCACGGGGATCGGGGGAACATCAAACGGGGAAGCCGGGATCCCGGGTGGGATGAATTTCCAGCGGGTAGCCGGTGGGTGGGGGCCACCCGCCGGATAATACTGTTCCAGGCAGCGGGTCGCCGGCGGGCAGCTGCCCGCCCGCCGGCCACCCGCTGCCGGGCGGTGTTTCACGGCCGTGGGTAGGTGGCGGGTCCCCTACCCCCACCTACCCCCCACTGACTCTTTTCACACACTTTACGCCCCGGGAACCGTTGTGGAACCCGAAACCATGCTTAGACACTTTACAACGCAATTAACGACAACACGTAGACAATTAACGAATCAAATACAAGAAACGGACGACACATAACCTATCATGCTTTTCTAAATATAATCAACACCCAAACATGCGATTTCCCCCCCGATAATCCAAGAATAAGATCATACGATACAACCTAGGGTTCTAATCACTTTTATATCAACAAGAATATGGTTCGTCTTCTAATTGCAAGGTTTGGTAAGAATAACACATAAACATCAAGAGCATCACATAATTATCAAGAACAACACATAATCATCAAGAACTCCATATAATTATCAAGAACACCATAATTATCAAGAATATCCCAATATCAAGATTATCAAGATCCCTCATGGGATCATCACATCAATTATCAATAATAAACATCATAACTCGCCAATATGCAATAATATGGGGAAACCCTAGGGGGAAATCATAACTATGAAAATAGGTTTTGTTGAGACATGGGTTACCTCTTAGCCTTAATTAATTCCTTGGCTATGAAGGGTCTTTCTTTAAGCTTTCTTGCTTTCTTGATTTCTTCTAAGGGGATTCTTGGAGCACTTTGGGGTGGTGGAACGTTTATTGTGGTGGGGGGTTCTAGTTGCCTCTTAAGTCCCCTATTTATATATTTAGGAGTCCTGGTTAGGAACTAATATTATAGGCTTGCTAATTCTATTCCTTTTGGAACTAAGGATTGGGTTTAGGGATAAGGGTCCATGGTCCATAGTGGACCATATTAATTAATTAAAGGGAATCCTAATCGTAGTCTGAATAGTAAAAGACCTACTTCCTTTATTCCTAATAGATAACTAGGTCTAGGATTCCTAATTAGAATCTGAATAGTAAAGGGTTTACTTTCTTTATTCCTAATAGGCTTAGGACTCTAATTTAGGCAAGGGTCCACGGTTCATGGTGGACCTTTATTAATTAATTAAAGGAAACCTAACCAAATTAAATCATATTTAATTATTATTAACGGGATTAATTTAATAATTAATCCGGGATTGAAGGCCGTAACACGGGGTGTTACACCACCCGCCGGCGGCAAGTCTCCGGGCAGTGGGTGCGCGGCGGGCAGTCGTCTGCCCGCTGTCGGCGACGCCAATTTGGGCAGCGGTTAGGTGGCGGGTCCCCCTACCCCCACCTACCCCCCCACTGAATCTTTTTCAATATATTGGTCCCAGGATCTTTCGTGGAACCCAAAATCATGTTTAGACACTTTTAATCATAAACGACAACACTACGTAGTCAAATAATGGATCAAAACCAAGAATCATATTGAACATATCCTAACGTGACTTCTAATCATAATTAACACCCGAACATGCGAAGTCCCACCCAAATATATCAAGAATATCACAATACGAAATTCCCAATTTTAGCCTAGGGCTCTAATCATATTCAAATCATCAAAATCATAGTTTATCTTTAAAATCAAGAACATCAAGATTTATCAAGAACATCACACAATTATAAAGATCCTCTTATAATCATCAAGATTATCAAGATCAACACATAAAATCATCTCATCAATCATCAAGTTCATATTATCATCATCATAAAAGTTATCAAGACACAAGCATAGAGAAGAAGCCAAAGATGAAGATTATAGCAAAGAAAATAGGTTTTGTTGAGACATGGGTTACCTCTTAGCCTTAATTAGATTCCTTGGCTATTAAGGTTCTTTCTCTAAGATCTTTTCTTCTTGATTTCTCCTACGTTGGTGATAAGAGAATTCTTGAGACTTCTTGTGTGGTGATGTCTATTGTGGTGTGCATTCTAGGTGCCTCCTACGCCCCTATTTATATATCTAAGAGTCCTAATAAGGGCCTGAATGGTATGGGTTTGCTAGTTCTATTTCTTATAGGACTAGAGGATTGGTTTAGGGACAAGGGTCCATGGTCTATGGTGGACTCTTCCTAATTAATTAATGGAATTTAATTCTCTTTTTTTGGTAAGTAATTAAATAATTAATTGGTTTGGAGGCCGTAACACGGGGTGTTACACGCCCCCCCCAATAAAAAATAACACAGAAGATAGAACAGGGAGAAACATACCTCGACTGACGCCATCGGAGAATGATCCCCGTCGCTTGGCACCACCGCGATGCCCCTCGGCGACCATATCCTGTTGCTGATGAGTGATGAAGACGGCGATGGAAGGCGAGGAAGATAGCTGCGAACGCCACACGGAACGAGAGATAGACCGACAAACCCGCTGGAGTAAAGTCTGATAATTAAAATCCTACCAATATTGAACCGCTACCCAAATACAAAAGCCCGAAAATACCCCCTTAAAATATAACACAAGCATATATAATTAAAAACTACCATAAATAATCAACAAAATCCTGTACATCCAACCTAAAAAACCAACGACCCGGATGAATCCACACTGTTTGTATTTTAAGCACTGTTTGTATCTGAATAGAATCTTATATATATATATATATATATATATATATATATATATATATATATATATATATTATATAGAATTAGGTTCTTGTGCGGTTGGTGTGCTCAGGTGCGGTTAAATCTGAGCCATTGATCTTTCTTAAATCAACGTTCAAGATTACCAAAATTTTTTAAAAAAAATGCAGTTGAAATTTGGTAATTTTTGAATCTAGGTCAAATTTAAGGTGCGTGGATTTTGTGTTTGCGGTGCATGGGGTTTGTGCTTAAAGTGTGTAGGTTTTGTAATTAAGGTGCGTGAGGTGTGTGCTTAATGTGAGTAGTTGTTGAAAATTAAGGTGCGTGAGCTTTGTGCTTAAGGTGCATGAGTTTTGTGTTTAAGGGGCGTGGGTTCTGTGCGTGGGTTATGTGCTCAAGGTGCATGAGTTTTGTGTTTAATGTGAGTAGTTGTTGAAACTTAAGGTGCGTGATTTTTCTTCTTAAGGTGCGTTGTTTTCCTTTTTAAGATGCGTGATTTGTATGGTTAAGGTGCGTGATTTGTATGCTTAAGGTGCATCAGTTGTGTGAAACTTAAGGTGAGCCATTTTAAAACTTTAGGTGCGTGGTTTGTGTTCTTAAGGTTCTTTGTTGTGTGCTTAAGGTGCGTGGTTTGAGTACTTAAGGTGAGTGGTTTGTGTTCTTAAGGTGCTTTGTTTGTGTGCTTAAGGTGCGTGGGTGGTTACAGTATATTTCTCAAACAAATAATTACTCGGAGTAACGAGTTATCGATCCACAGGGAAGTGCGGCGTATTAAGCACTAGTATAGCTACTAATCTATTCTAGTGAAACTAATCCTAATGAATATCATGGATGATTGATTAAACTAATTAAAGGAACAAAGTATGCAGGTTTGAGAAAACAATAGAGAGAGAATGAGATTAATGTGATTTAACTCATTTAAGTATTTAATCACCTAGTACCAATCTTAAGAACAATATTAAATCTGGGTTTCAACAAGTTTGAGAATGCAAACAGTGGCAAGAGTTACTCCCGAAATCTCTAACCTCAGTGAATATTCACTCCCGTGATATAAACACCATACCCAACAATAAAAGAACAAGCATTCATAATAAATCCCTAACTACTACCATCTCCCCCGATGTATAATAATCAAGAATTAAACTCCCTAACATATATGCCTAACTCCCATTAAGTGCAACAGTTAAGTGCAATTGTGAGTTCCTCAAAATATGCCTAACTCCCGTTATGACATAAATAAAACTATGAAAAAAGTAATTCGGGCCCTGAACTACTAGCAACAACAATATAATCACAATTATATTGCAACACAAGGATAAAACTCAAATAATAATATATTAAAGATTATGAGATCTAGGAACAAAAGGTTCATAAATACTTTTACCCAAGAATCTCTAAAGTAAATTAGCCACACATGGCTAATATGCAATACATAGAAATAATAAAGAGTTTACAAATAATCAAAGAGAGTACAAGAATAAACCAAGTGATTCTCCCAAATCTTCCTAACTTTTTTCTTTCTTCCCAAGACAACTTTTAGCTCTTGATTCTCTTCTTTCTTGTCTCAAAAACACACCATAATAATCTAGGGTTGAACCAAGGTGGTCTTTTTATTGGAAGCTGCTGAAAATCACCACTCAATGCGTCGAACCCTTTAGCTCTTCGAACCCGAACCTACAGGAAATACTCGACGTGTCGACTTCGACGTTGACCTCCTAGACCCCGCGGCCTATCTTCTCGACGCGTCGAGTGGAGACTCAACGTGTTGAGTTCTCTGAACTCGAATCGCAACTCCGTTTTTGCACCGAATTTGTCCAATCACTTCCCCTTGCATATGCAATTGACCTATAATGGTTCGAAAACACTAACAAAGACTGTAAAACATTCAAAACAAGTGTAAACCATATCTAAATAATAAAACAAGGGAATATGCAATTAAATATCAATTTCATGAACTTAAACTCAACAAAATATATTCAAACTAACACTAGAAACATGTACAATTAAGCTCACATCAGTGGGTTGCATGTGTACTTTGTAAGACTTCCCCATACAGGTCTAAATTATGTGGTGCAAGTGGACTAGACCCATTAAGTAATTGGTTGGACTGGACATTAGGATAAGTCTGTATTCCACCAATATGCCTATATAAAGCCTGTATTGATGGGATACAAGACATATTCATTATATAGCATAAAGTTATGGTACTCATACTTCTCATAAAATACCAGTACACCTTCTAGGGTTCTGAGTCAAGTATGGGACAAAACGGCTAACCCTATTTTGCAGATCTACCGTTCAAGAGGCAATACAACAAGATATCAACTATGGCTGGAGATCTACAGTGCTTCCGCTTCCGCTACCACGAGTTAAGTTTCTCGTAAATTATTCTCTGTACAGTTAGATCATATTTAGATCTAACATTTGGTATCAGAGCTTTTATCAATCTCTGCCTAGTTGATTGTTCTGCGTAAAAAACAATATTAATTTTCATATAAATCAAAATTTTGTATATGATATTTTGAACTGTTGATTTTTTTTTTTTTTTTTGGCATTAAGCAATTTTTATTTGGTTTACATTAAGTTTTGCAGATGATTTATTTTTTGAAAAAATTTTCCTCAACTTATTGCTTACTGTTTGTTTTGCCGGAGAATCACAGGTTACGATCTCCAATTTTACGGTGTGACTTGGAGTCACCAGCGGCGGGCGGCGACGCACAGCGTACGTGGACAGCGTTGGCAGAGGTCGCATCGCGATTTGGAGAAGACAGCGGCGATGAGGCTAGGCTATCGGCGATATCCGATTTCCTCTCCTCTTTCATTATTTCCTTATAAATTACGTTATTTTCTTAGCAATTATGATTTATTAATTCTTTTACCAATAAATTAATTAATTAATATTAACAAAAGTTTGAGTGGGAAAGTCGTTGAAGAGGATGATTTTACTTTTGTTAATAGTATAGATTAGCAATTTCCATTTCTTTTTTCAATTTTCTTTTTCTAGTATTAATAAGTAATTTTTATGTTGCCAAGCACCTTGTGCACAGATGGCACCCTGGTTGGACTCCCATATGGGAGGTTGTGAGTTTGAGCCTCAGTTGAGGCGTTATTGGCTCTTTGTGTTTCAGTAGGTCATAGAGTAAGTAGCATTCAAAAAAAAAAAGTAATTTTTTTCTTCTTTTTCATTTTCAGTTAATTAGGGATTTTTTTTCTTATTTCAGTCAATTACTCCATAGTAGTTACACATCTTTATATATACTAATTGCAAAACTATTTCCATCTTTAATTATGTTATTTACTTACCAAAGAATATTATAAATTACG